CTGCTCCTCACCCAGTTTACAGCGACAGCTCCCCGAGGTTCCAAGGAGCTGCGATGCCCCCAGCCTCGCACAGCTGCACAGACACAACCTACTCTTTCAAGCAAATGGACCTCGTCCTTCCTTTCACAAACCTCTGATGTCTACTTGGGACTCCTATCTTACCACCTCGAGATCACAAATGAATGGAAGTATTCATGAACCAAAGAATGGAAGCATTCATGAACCAAATATCAATTCTTAAATCTTAATTCACACCTTTTTGTTCAAAGGAAAGAAAGGATATGATTCTATGATACCCCAGCTATTCAGATTTTCCCATGAGCTCTATTTTTTTAAATCTCTTACAGTCCTTTGGTACGATTTTTTTTCCTCTTCTTTTCATGCATTTTGCTCTAAAGATAAATGCCTGTGGCCATTTTCTAAAACCCCAGAAAAGTGAGCAAGGTAGATTTTGTTCTTTCTGTTCTTTGTTTCATTCTTTCTTTGAAATGCTTTCTCCACCTTCATATTTTTGTCTCCCTCCGAGGTGCTCCCAGAGGTAAGATTTATGTTTACCACTGATGTTTTACGATGAAGACACTGAACTTTGGTCACTAAATGACTACTGTCTGGAGGTTCAGCAACCTGCCAGCCACGCACACGTCCCCCGGGTGCCCCCCCCAAGCGGGGTGCCCCCCACCAGCGGGGTGCCCCCTGGCACCGAATCCAGCCGTTAACCCTTAGGCACCAGCATCCCCCAGTGGTCCCGCGTACCACTGCAGTTCACTTCGGGGCTGGCGTTTCCCAGGTACTCTAACTTTCAGTGTAGAGCTAAATTCAAGGCAAGTGCCCCAGAACCAGCCAGAACGCAGGAGTCTGCTGAACTCAGTAAAGAACCACATATATTGATCATAGGCAAAGCTGAAAAATTTTAATTTCTTTCCAGTCATTGCATGTATCTTGTCTGTATTACGAAACACATATCTGTAAAAGCAGGATTTTTTTGTAAAACACATTTGAAAAGGGGGGAAAATCAGACCAAAAGAAACCCAGACTCTTTATTGGAGAGCCTTTTTGAAGAAGAGAAAATAGGTTCAGAGCCTCTTCCATGAATATTAGGTTCTACAGCTATTTTCGGCTTTTTTTACAAGATCAGGACTTATGGAAAAGCTACTATAGCAACCATCAATTTTTAATCCACCTTTTGATTGAAGTTCACATACTTAGAAACTACAGTCCACCATATCCATTGAATTAGAATTCTAAATAAAAAAATTCCTGGCTGACATTTCCTTCACACAATGAAAATTCAACCACATTCTCAGAAAATACTCAACAAGAAGCACATCCCAGCCACTGTTCTTAAACCCAGCCCTTTGCAAAACAATCAGAAATTGTGTTGACTGGGATCTTTTTCCCTGTTCCCTAAAAGACCTCAGTCACTGAGGAAAGGTGAAGTAATGGGATACTGCAAAACGCCACTGGAAGGGGTAGAGAACAAGAGGAGTGAGAAGAGCAGACAAATGATGCGGGTCTAACACAAACACGGGATGCTCGCACCTACCCGGCTCCCTCCCAGCCCAGAAGCAGAACAGCCACATCAGCACAAGCCCTGTATCGGTGCTGACTCAGCAGAGGGAGGATGGAGAGGGAAGGATGTGCGAGGCTGCTGGGGGAAGAGACAGAACAGCACTGCTGCACAACACTTCTGTATGGGATGGAAAGAAAGAATTTCCTCTTGTTAATGTTGGAGCCCTCCAGTAACTCCTAATGCTGCAGCACTGGACATGAAGGGCTGTTAATTAAAACAGCCCCTCTGAAAAACAGTGGGACTTATCCATTAGCTTTAAGTTAAGCAGGAGATTATGAGCAGTGCAGAACAGGAGCAGACGACCACGTTTGTCATCTCTGTATCACAGTCTCACCAGACCTGATGCCACAGGAGCCCAGAGAGGCGACATGGCTTTACCCAGTCCCTCCTGCTTCCGAAATCCAGTAGGCCCATGGTGCCGCTTAGCTACTTCTTCTCCTTCTGTTGCTCTTGTCACAACAGCTGAGGACATCTAGCAGAGTTCGGCAACAGACGCATACTTCTACTCTTTGTCTGCAGTGTAAGCACTGAATACTTGAGACAAGGGGAAAAAAACCCAAACCCAATCCCCAGAACATATGTGTCTTCTCTGCAATTTAAGGGTGAAATGCTGGTGTCCTTCCTCAGAGGTAACCTGAGGGATGTCTGCCGTATTCAGTACCTCTGAATCCGATCCTTCAGGAGCAGCAGTCAGCCTGAGTGTGAATGTGCTAACTGAGACGTGACAAACCATGTAACACTTCTGGCTGATATTCTGTTATTCTGTGGTGAAGGCTCATGAGGATTTTTGAAAGGAAGTTTATTTTTGCAAGCTGCTGAGTGCTGACTATGATGTGGGGCAGCTTTCACTTAGGCAAATGTCTTAACTTTTGTTAAGGCTCTTGGACAGACAGACTATTACTGTGGCATTTACAAGAAAAGCTGTGTAGATACATTTGGCTTAGGCTACCCAGGGAAAGTACATGTTGTAGGTTTTAACAAATAATGGACAGTTATGGTTCAGCACAAAAGGAGAAGGCAGTTTTCATCTTGACAGCCCCCACCTCCCCTCTTCTTTTGGAAGTTCTAAAACTATTTGAGAGGTCCTAACCAATGTTCTTCATAGGTTACCATCACTACCTAAAACATAGAAGTTGGTATCTAGTTCAACAAATCAGTTTTATGTAGTTCAACCATCTGTCTCTGCCAGTTACATGAAGAGGATGACTCTGAAAAAGTCAGCAACCATCATAATGAAAACATAAATTACGATACAACGTGTCACACAGCACTGACAATTAATCCTGCTGCTAAAGAAGAACGCACAATAAACACATTATCTGAAATTAAAATTGGTTTTGACCAGATCTCCAGAGCCTTTAAAGTTGTAACAATGATTTCCTATTTATATGGACTGCTCGAATTCTCAGGTGATTCCCTGTGGAGACCTGTATGAATACTTTTTCCAGAGCCGAGGAAAGGAAAATAGATAGCTATAATGGAACGGCAGGAGCAGCCAAGCAGCAGATTGATTCAACGGGAGAAATTGAATGCATCCCAAAAGATTTCCTAGGATTTGCTCTCCCGCTGCTTAGGGCACAATTTGTCGTAATGAGAAACTGAGGATTTTGTTTCAGGTGTGTCAAAGCTTGTAGTGATGACTTGAAGGTATAAAGAAAAAACAGCACTTGAAAATCTCTCTTCAATAATGCTTTTGGATGAGGAGAGAACAAGGACAAGCTCTTCAAGGTGCAAAAAAGGTCAAATGTCTCATGTAAATAGCATTCCTTAAGAGATACTAATTGAATGCATAGTCAAACCCTTTCCTTCATCTCCAAACTCCTGCATTAAACAGCTTGAAAACTACAGTACGCTCCAGTAAGCAAAACAGAGAAAGCTTCATTAAATTACCTGGTAAAAGTGCACTTGATCTCACTGTAATCTCTGCTCTTGGAAATTTCTGCAGAAAAATCCTCAGTTTTCAGTTGTGAAGAACTGAGTTACCAAGTTAGAAAATAAAAAACAACTGAGGTTTGGCGTGTTTTTTATTTAATAAAGGAACACTTAAAGAGGCAGACTACTCTGGTCATCGGGAGCATGCCACACGCCACACAGCAGAAGGCTGGCAGGAAGCACGTTCTGCTGCCGTACGGCAGAAGCCCTGTCTGAAAGGTTACGTGGGACATGCATGACGGGACACTCACCCTGACGAAATGTGAGAAACCTGTAGGCACTCCTGCCCTCCTCTATGAGAAGGAACAGTCATTATGAACACCGAGCTTCTCTACAGCTCTGAGGTACCACAGCCTACGCAGGTTTCTCACTGATTACTTTATGTGAGACAGCTCTGAAATGCTGCGTTGTTTCTCAAGTAAAGCCCAGAGTTTTATTCAGGAGTAGACTGGCAGATGAAATTTCCTCAGGCAAAATGCCGAATGCTGACGGCACCCTGGTTTGATTAGGGAAGACATGTAAAAACAGAGATGTTCATATTCACAGCAGCACGTATTGTTCAGCACTAGCATGCCCCTCACACTTCTCAACATCACACTGCGTACTGGAACATCACACGGTGTAGAAGAACCAGCAGAGAAGAAATGGATGCTCCAAAAAATATGTTACTAAGAATGAACACTCTTGTGTGAATGACATTATATCTGGATATCCAGCGCAGGTTTACATTTAGGTACAAACAATGCAAATATCAAGAACCCAAAAAGTTGAGTCTTAGAGCTTTTAGAACACAGACCAAAGCAGACAGCATCTGCCCTTTCTCCACTAAATGACCAAAGTTGCATTACAGCTCCAGGCACCAATCAATTCCAAGACCTACCACGTGAAGCAGGATCTCCCGGAGCATCCTTCCGTATCGTAAAAGGCCATCAGACTTAGAAACTCCCCCAGCACATAGCATAGGAGCAAGTACTGACCAGAAGAGTAACAGCAAGTGCTTCACCACCTTGGCCCCTTCTCAAAATAAGGACCAAGGGCTTTTTCATTTCCAGTTGAAACTGCATTTTGCAGTTTTTTTATTGTTTCTGTAAACTCCATGTTTACAGTATACAGAGAATATACATTATTTCAGCCAGCTACTTCTTCCTCAAGCTTGACCTAGCTCAGCATAAAACACTGACACCCTCATGGCAATGGAGTCTGAGTCAGAAAGTCAGCTTCTGATCAGGGATGGGGCAGCATCTGAACACATGAAACAGTGAGGAGCTAATAATCAATTACCATTATAGTTCTTATTATCATTTTATTTCCTCTCAGCCTGACAGTGGAAGCAGAATGGGAGTTCTGCCCCATCCATTACGCTGGAAGGCAAGGCAAGATATACAGCAAGAAACAAAACCAGCAAGAATCATCTGGACAAAATGCAATCTTTGCTTTTAAGGAGACAGATGCTTCTCCCCCCGTCTTTGGAAACAGCCAAACCAATTCCTTCTCTTACCTGTATGGTCCCAGGGTCCTGATGCCGTAATGCAAAGCTTCTTCCCAGGATTCAAGATTAATACAGGCATCCATGGCACAGTCAAGCATTTTCAGCTGATAGATATTTGTGTCTGGAAGACGACCCATATTGCTGCTCAAGAGATTCTTGCATCTTGCCAGAACCTGCTCCCACTCTGTTGTTAGCCTTAGTTAAAGAAATATCTTTAATCAAATGAAAATACAAGTTCCAAATGTTGTTAGTAAGGAGTAAGAGCTACAGGGCATCAAGATAAAAAAAGTTGCCATCATTCCAGGCTCTGTTTCAATTCCTAAAAACATACTTAAACTCCGAAGTGGTAGCTTAGGTAACCATGCTTTGTTTACATTTCACAAAACAGTATCTAAAGGCAGCAGTATTTCAGCAATAAAAGGTAAAAGAAAGGTGACAAAATGAAAGGGTATTTTAACACATAACAAACTAAAATTCAAATACCTTTTATTTAGCTGCTGAAACATTATTATTTACTTAAGGTACTCCTCCAAACCTTACATCCAAGGGGAAGAACCCATGGAAATGTGTCTTAACAAAATGCCTCAGCAGCTAAAAAAAGAAAATTAATTTTTTATATATTAAAATCATGACACATGCTTTTAAGTTGCCCAAGATTTGGTTTAGAAATCTCATGAAATTAGAACATTTTCTTGCAATTAATTAATTTTCTTTCTCCTTGAAACAGATGTAAAGAGCATTGGGGTTTTTTCCTGTACAGCTGCATGCTTCATGCAGGAGAAAGAAATGCATTTGAGTTCTGATGTCTGACTGTAGTTCAGGGTTAAGGATCTTGGCAGTAAAGAATATTTTTACCTCCAATGCTACAGGAAGATTTTTTTGTGTGTTTGGAAGAAAGGAAAAGGAAGCTGGGGCTTGCATTCACTTTAGTTGGATATTCCTTACCACAAATCACTTATTTTCATTACGTTCTACACTGGTTTGACTTCTCTGTGGACCAGATTCTTCTCACTCTGACCACACCTAAGCTGAATACCAACACTCCCAGATTATAAATGAGTATGGGAGTCCCAGAATGCAGGCAGTCTAAACACTAAAAAGATACCATACCCATCAGTAAGAACAAATCAAATAAAATAAAAAAAATAGACACAATAATAGAAGTAATAACATTGTTTGTATCGCAGTCCTTTCCATACAATCAATCCAAGGAAGGCAGCAGTTATCTTCATGACATTACTGAAAATACTATTCACCCCAATCTAGCAATGGATTGAAGGGTACAATGATAACCCTGTGATGAAGTAATTAGTCCTTCCTGAACATGGGAATATTTACATACTTAAATTTAAGAATGTGACCACTATGTGGCTGGGCCAGGATTTATAACATGGTTGTTACAAGGCTAAACTAATTATTTGTGAATTGCTCTCATGCCCTTGGACTGAAAGAACCATATAAGGGAAGGAATGTGTTATTATAAAATTGCACCTTAACCTTTATATCTCTGGCAAACATCCCTGTATTCTTTACAACTGATTAAGGACAGACAAACAGAAGAATGAGGGATATTATTTCCACTTGATACAATTTTTGTAGAAAGTACAAAGCACTGACATTCTTGAAAAATTACCATTTTAACTGATGTGTAGTATTTGTGTCCTTTTACTTCTCATTACACTGCTTTGCTCACTCACTGGCATCTAATAGCAGATGTGCTATATTGCAAAACCTGTTGGGATCAAATTTTCAGGTACATAAATTGCAAACTAGAAAACTCACTATCAGCTGCAACAGGACAAAAGAGAAGCTGGCTGTCCTGTATCTGCCCAAGAGTAGAGGAGCAACCCTCAAGCAGCTCTGCCACTGTTGTGTGGCCTGAGTTGCAGAAGAATCCTTCTCTCCACAATAATGCCCTTGCACTGGGCTTTAGCATCTCAATTTGTATGCTTAAACTGGAATTTGGGTCTGAGACAGTTCACCCTCACATACCGTTTCAAGTTCTCTAACTGCAGATCTAGCATTACAACACTGTACCAGTTATAACGAGTAGCTCAGGTTTTGAAAGTCACTAACTTCCTCAACTGTAGGAACTGTTGGTTTAATTTGCTAAAAAAATTAAATTTCCAGAAATTAATGACTATGTGCCTCAGGCGGCAAGGAAGGTTTTCTATTCATTCTTGGCAAGTGGACAAAAGTCAAGCCCCCTCTTCAGGTACTGCACTGGCCACCGCATACCAATTAGCACTGGTATTGTGGTGCAATGGAAGGGAAGATGACACATTTCTAACGGCCCATGTCTGAGAACAGAAGCTGAACAGACAACAAGGACATTTTTTTCAACCAGTTCTGGTATCTTTTACTATGATGTGTTTGATTCATTTTTAAATATCAGTTAAATCCGTAATCTTAATTAAAGACCCTAGCAAAATTCAGTAGGTGCAATTTGTCTTGCAGTTAAATATAGGAACATTAAATAGGACCAGAATTCTGGCTCCACACTTTCGGTATAAAAATGATTACAACTGCATGTTGCACACCTATAATTGAACTTTCAGGTTAAAATGTGGGCTCTGAAGTACAACTGAACGCCTGAAGATCTATTTCAGTATTGTCTGTCTCAATCCAGTGACTCCAGAGGAACTTAAGACAGACTGAAACTATACAAAAATTAAAGTTAGACGGGATGAGTGTTTGCCTTTTGCTAACAAATGATTCCCTCTGGATTAGAAAGAAACAGACTCGGTTGGGGTTTTTTTTTGTTACAATAAAAATTGTGATCACTTGTTTCCAGCCTGGAATATCACTATGCAAACTTGTTTTTTATGCTGCTGGAAAGGAGTACTGGAAGATTTAATTCTCTCTAGCTTCAGAGAAAGTCCATGTTTCTGAAAATGGTAAGGCATCTTCCTACAATAGGCCAAATTCACAGTCAGCGAAATTCCACCAAATAGACCAAGATGAGAGAGGAATCAATATACTCATAGTCTTCTAGTAAAAACCTCCACCTCTCTTCTGCTCATCTTTTCTTGGTGGTTGCTGTTCACTAGTTTTTTTAATTGGATTGAATATCTACATGATGGCCATTAGGCTCCAGTTCTGTTTATTAGTGCAAGATCATCTCATTCAATTTGCTTAATTATCAATTATTATTATACATTATTATTACAACTTATTACAATGATTCTATAATGTTTGCAGTGAACCTGACTGTGATTACATCCTTGTTACTGTCATTGCTATGCAAAGAATGAGAACCTAGAAACGTTCGCAATGGAAGTAATGCGACAACGAATTTAACGTTTCGGATTAAGTCTTATCTCATTTAGAAGTGGATTTATATGAAGTGGTGGGCTGTGATGGCAGAAGTCTAAACCTGAGTCAAATTATCCCTTCACATCCTAGGTACCTACTATCCCTTCCATGAAGCAGTTCCAGTCCATGTAATCAGAGACTCTTATTAATACAATTAAGAATATTACAAGTTTTAAATATCAAATGAATTAAAAATACATTTTAAAACAACATAAAAATGTAACCCTTTTGGAAACAAATCTTCAAAGACAAACTGCATGCTAAGGGGCTCTCTGGATTGTTTTCACAACTGAATAACAGACTGTAGCCTGTCACTGAAAGGATACCTTGTTTTGATTTTGGATATCTCACTTCATTTACAGCATCTTTGACTTCTTTCCAGGCATGCTCTTCACCAGCCAATTTCTCAGCATCCTGGTTAATGGAAACAATAGCATTTGATGAGAAAAACAGTAAATTGAGACTAAGCAGTAATGATGAAAAACAGGGTAAAAAAATTACACTGACAAAAGCTACTTGTGGGGACTGTATCACTATTTTTTGTAAATACACAACAAATCATTTCAACTGGCATTCATACCCACCCTGTGTTTGTAAGTAAATTGGATGATATCGAGAAAAAGAAATGCAAACTTGGAAACATTAAATACTCAAACTAGATACGAGGTTTGCAACAAGAACTATGATCAACCAGAAAAGAGAAATAACAGCATGCCATTTTTACTATCGAAATGCATCAGGCAGATCAAATTCTCTCAAAGATCTGCTACCTAACACTTCACAGATCCTCAACCACACTGCAGAAAGGATTTAGCAAACCATGTGGTGATTACAGAGACTTTACAAACAGTGGGAGGCTACCTTCATCCATTCCGGTTATAAGTGTAGGCTTACAGGAGAAGTCTGCTACTCAGAAAAAGCTGAACTTCGATTTTCTTTTATAACTCATTGCTACTTCTTCTCCATTCCATTGGATTCTATAAACAGCTATATTTTCCCATTGCTTTGTCATAAAGAAGGCAAAAATGATTAATGGCTGTAGCACTAAGAGAAAGTTTCCCCTTTCAACTCTCTAGCAGTGACTAACTGCACCTTAGGCAACCCACTTGGAACAAATTTATTAAAGCATCTTACAGACACAGTTAAGCATCTTTAGGGATTTCCAAAAGCATCTAGATATTCAATTTCCATTGCTATAAGCACTTAAATACCTTTAAAAATCTGGCCTTTAAGACACTGCAGTTCCTTACGAAAGGCCCTGCTACTCGCAAAAGAGTTTTGTAAGTGCAAATTCTTGGAGGAATACTTTAAATACAGTTCTAAAAAAGTCAGCATTCAGCAGGGTTGGAGGCCTGGAGATGAGCAGAGAAGGCATGTGAAAATCTAACCAAGCACTTTGTAACCAACAGATGCTCACTGGGCATCACAGGAGTACCTCTAGCAAAAAGTCTGTGATCTGTATCTGTCTAGAACTGCACGCTTTTCTTACTCCACTGCTCCTTATTTATCATAAAGTCAGAACAGAAAATATTTACAGTGAGAATCAGCACTCACTTACACATTTAATTTGCAGTTTTGTCTTTCCATCTGCTCCATGGAACAGCAGACCTCTGTGAATTCCTGGGATGATTAAATCGAGATTAAATCAAGACTGGTCTCAGCTGCCCCACCATTCTGTAGAGCCTTACAAGGAGGGCAGCCTGACCCCACTGCATTTCACACATGTGCTTCCCCTACAATCAGTTCTCTGATCAAAAAGATTACCTGGAAGTAATTTTGTGCATAGCTGAATTTGCCACCAGAAGGCATAAGTTGAATGCTAGGACAAACAAGCTCATACTGTCAAATCTTCCCATCACAGTTAATGTACACACCCAGCCCTCTTACAGCTTTGCAACAGACTTGCACTGAATCTGTTAGCTTCAGTGTAACCTCTACCAGTTTTTATGGGACCACCTCTATTTCTGAACTCTGCCTGTTAACCTGTAACAATCTGTCTCTAAAACATCTTTGTAGATCAAGCGGTGCTCACTGATTGATCTGAAAAATAAATGTGGCATGTAAGATACTAACAATGATGTCTCTCAAATTTTAGGTTTAAGGAGCTACCAAAAAAGAAGAATTCTTTTAAGCTATCTTTTCCCACTGGCCCAAGTATAATTCTCAGTATTTCTGTAACATGTTGTAAGCTTTACAACTAAAACCTCAGAAACATGGGAATCGGGACAGATTTATAAGTGAAAGAGGAAAAACCAACTATACTCCAAGTTACAGGCCAAGGACGGATGCAACGTTAGGGCTCACTTTGCACACAGTGGGACTGAGGGATGAATCAGGTTAAAGTCTTCATTGGCATGGGATTACTCTTTCTCTTTCTTGTGCAGTCTTTTGAGTTGCTTTCCATTGTCTTTTAGCATTTCATTAAGAACACAAAGCAGTGCAAGGTTGGGGGTTCCTCTAACCTTTACACTAGTGTGTACGGTTAAGTCAACACTGGTTTCATATCCAGCTAGAGAAGAGGGAGTGCCTGGTGGACAATAATCTCCCAGCCCTCTCCGGATTCATGGTCTTTATCCCTTTTGTAAGGGGGTCTTTTGGATGCAGGGAGCTGGGCAGGATGCCCAGCTCTGGGCAGGATTTAAGTCAGAGGTTTCAATGAGATGTATTTTTGTGTTCTCAAGCTGAGGCGTTTTGGGGATTGGCTGATGTGAGAACAAGCAAAGACCTGGCTAGCTGGGCCTTTTACATTTCTACTGTCCATCTTCAGATTTCCATGCACCAAAGAAGTCCTGTCCTTTCCTAAACACTCTAGTTCAAGGCATGGAGGCTGCTTCCAAACAGGCAGCCAAGCAGGGGCTGCCAAACAACCAGGACGGCTTGTCCCTGAGAACACTTCTGCCTTCCAGCCTAATAAGCTTTTTCCAAGTAAGTTGTTTCTCTCCCGTGGTCAATGTCTTGAAAGTCATGGCCATACAATATGACTAAGCCAGCTAAAAAGACAAAGCTGTCCTGGAGTTGGAATTGTGGAAATAATCGAAGTGATTAATGGTTACGTCGAACTCTAACTTAATCTAAAAGCGTGGCAGTAACAGCTATGGGAGATTTAGCTTTCCACAGAGTAACATCGATTCAAAGCATCTTTTTTCAGAACATGTTCCCAGTCAAACCTCCAAGCTCTACCAAGGTGTGCAGAGCTTCCAACAATAAAGGACAACAGGATTTTTTCATTTGTAGAAAAGGAGAACCCTAGCTGAAGAAAAGGAAGAGGCTTTTGAAAAAGAAGGAAGAGTTAGCAACTTGTGACTAATTATTTTCCTTATTTCTAACACTGACACTAAACATAAGAGTTTATTCTTCAGAACAAGAAAATATTGTGTCTTGGTCTAAAAAAGAATTAGACTAGATAAGCTAGTCAGAAAAATGCATGACAACCTTCTGATGGCTGAAACTGGCATGCTTTACAATTCAGCTTTCACACATAGAGGCGTGCTGGGGAAAACTGAGAGTAGTAGTGTTGAAGGCTCATGGGGAGAGCAGAGAAGACAGCTGCAACACATGCTTTTCCATGGCAAGCACACAACCTCGCAATACTCTTAATAACACAGGTACAATCCATTGGAGGCAGAAGCGTCACTTCATGTGCTAGCTGAACTCACAATCTAGGGAGCAAGGAAAGACAAAATTGATACTGCGACTTAGTTTGAGCAATTATTCCAGATGGAAGATGGTTCCAGCACCTGCTATCCACTTATTCCAAGCATACGGAGGGGAAACTTGTTCATTAGAAGGTCAGTTAAGATGCAACAGCAACATTTCAATTCCATCTCTCCATTCTTCCAACACTATGGCAGGTGCTGCTACAGTTTTCATGATAAAACACACTTTGGGATTTGTCATCTTAACACTGAAGCCTTCTGGAAATCTCCATGGACTACCTATCCTTGACTGCTTAGACCTGTGCTTCTAATCCTTTAGAACAATTTCCAGTTATATTCAGTTCTTTCAGTAAAACAAGCTACAAGCTAAACTCTTCACCCCTGACACCTCTCAAAAAGAGGACACCGTGTACCTTCACATCTTCTTGAATTTAGTTAGGGTACATAAAACATGAAGGCTCTCCTACATAATTCAACCAGACAAAATTCTAAGCTACAAGTTAAACTCTTCACTCCTGACACCTCTCAAAAAGAGGACACCATGTACCTTCACATCTTGAATTTAGTTAGGGTACATAAAACATGAAGGCTCTCCTACATAATTCAACCAGACAAAATTCTACTCCTGAAATCTATTTGGCTCTTCAAAATGGGCAACTGTAAAATACTCTGTAAAGAAAAAATTTCCTGCTATAAAGAACTATCTTTCCTTCCATCACTTTCACAACAATTTTGCTGTATAAAGGATTCAGGAAGAAGATTAATTTTTTAAAATATTTGCTTGAACATCACAATTTCTATAGCTTGTAGATCAGAAAAAGATTAGTTGTTGTATTTCTTTCAGAATACTTCCAGCTTTTAAATCCAGTGATTCTCCAGACTTTTAAGTTTGTGCATACTTATCACAATTAGTGTTTCAGGAGCCTCAGAATGGACATGATCAGCTCTGCCCAGCGCATCCTATAAATGCTCATAAAAATAGTCCATAGTACACAATACACCACTAAATGTCAATATTTGCTTTAAATATTACACACTTTCCTACAGTTTAGGTTCCATTAGCGACACTTGTAAAAATGAAGTTATAACCACTTATAATGAAGCCATAGCAAAAGAGAGAGAAATAAGAAAACCGGAGGGTATCTGATGAGGATTATAATCTGTTTGCATAGGGATCAAATGTAAAATGTTCTGTGGTTCTGGCTTTAAGGGACAGGAAGATCTATTATAAACGCACCATCTCCTGAAACAATTGCAGACACCAGCCACCACAGAAATCAGCATTTGAAAATGTTCCTGTTCCATTCCCTATTATTCCTTTGCTCCCAGATTTGTTTCTAAGAATTAGTTCTTTCCCTGTCTCCTGCCATTCTAGCATCCCGAACACATCCCCTCCCAGTTAACTCTCCTTTGCAAGGAGTGTAATCTCCAAAGTACAGAGACATGTTTCTCTTTCCTTCCTGTTGCTTTACACCACTCCTCTTTCCCCAACTACTCTTCTGTTTCTTATACTTCCCAAAAGTGCTCCCTACCTATTCATTTCAAGCGCCACTGCTTTTACCCGCAATGGTAGCAGTCACTGTTCTTTGCTATCCCAACATTTAAAATCCTGAATGTTTAAAGATGCCCACACGGACAGCACATCCTCTCAGAGGAGATCTCTCTTGTACCAAAACAAGCACACGCCAACCAGTCAGCATCACTGCCCCTCCGCCCAAATGTACTCCCACAGCCCCAGCACTGCTCAGCCGTAACGCA